AGATCTACCGTTGCATCTGCAGGTCCACAGTTTCCAAACATGAATCTGGCTAAGTCTTATTTCTTTTTTTTCTTTTTTTTTTTTTTAAAGATTTTATTTATTTAACAGAGAGAGACATAGCGAGAGCAGGAACACAAGCAGGGGGAGTGGGAGAGGGAGAAGCAGGCTTCTTGCCGAGCAGGGAGCCCGATGTGGGACTCGATCCCAGGACCCTGGGATCGTGACCTGAGCCGAAGGCAGACGCTTAACGACTGAGCCACCCAGGCGCCCCTGGCTAAGTCTTATTTCATTTGCATCTAGTCTTAGTAAATGAGTCACTGTGGTAAAGTCATCAACTATGAAGACCCAGGGGTTCCAACAAGAGCTGGGTTTCCAAAACATCATTCATGAGGAGACGGGGCCACGCTATTTCCTGAGAGTTCCACACAAAAGGCATTTAGAAAGGTTCAAATATATTCATTGCTTCTCAGCTCCTGTGTGGACAGGAAAGGAGAGACTCGAGTTGTTCACTCATTTTCTCAGACGTCTGATCCTGGTGACGTCATGACCTCAAGACGGCGCTCTACTCAACGTCGGGGAGCAAAGGGTGCTGGGAAGGCTATGCTCATTCAAAATGAGAAACCAGGGTGTCTACTGGAAGGATGCAGTCATTACCCAATTCAGATTCCTGGCATGTGTGTTTTGGCTTCACCTGGTTTCTCCCAACACGATGCAAGGAGAGCAGCCTGATTAAAGGTAACAAATGCACAAACAAATCTAGCTGTGATGAGTTTAATAGGTGAGGATAATCAAGCCTGGTCAGAGAACTCGGTTTCCCAGTCCGGAGTTTCTGATGAGAAGCTCCTCTCATCGCTAGCCAACACACATTCACTGTTCAAGACTCTCCGTTTACAAGGAAACTTGCTTCTCAGAGCCCTCTTCTGCCCAGGCGAACGGCAGAGAAATCGGGATAGCATCAGCATGGAAAAAGGAGTACAGTTAATAAGGTACAGAGTAATCATCCAGCTATGAGAAGCAGTGAGCTAACCGGCTAGGGTGGGGATTAAACTGAAGGTGAACTTGTTAGTATTTTTTTTTAATGTGAATTTTTAGGGTCGGCAAAATTCCACATAACGATGATTATGGTCGCCAACACAATTCTATTCATAGCGCAAGCATATGTAGGAGGTGGTGGGGCGGTATCTTTGTCTGCTTACTTTGGCTTTAACTACCTTCTGAGAAAAATACATTAACTAATGGTTTAAAATATATCCCTCCCCCCTTGAGTCTCTGGTGCAGAAGACTGGGTCCGTTATACGAAACGTGCTCAGGTCATGGTGTGTTTTCACACCGGTCCGTGGGAAGATCCTCTGTTCTTTACGACGTGCTCCCTTTTATCCGTACCCCTACCCCATCTCCCCTTCCTGTGCCATCGGCCACTACAGTAACATGCTTCAGGTGACCGATCTGGTCACGTGTTTTTATGGAACACGTCTCGTTCTTTGTGTGTTTCCCGTTTATGGAAGTAATAATGATACCTATCCCTTTACACGTGCTTATTTTCACACCAATTTTAGTATATGTGCTGCCGAAGCGAGCACTTATTTTCACACCAAACTGTGCTTTTTCGTTCCACGCACACTGCCGTGACATTTACCTCTCCACTGCGGAGCAACAAAGTACCACAAATTTGGAGGTCTCAAACAAGAATCCCAACCTCCTTGCTTCGCTGCCCAGCCAAACGGTGGTGGCTCCTTCCTGAAACTGCAGCCTCCGGGTTAACGTGTCGGCTTTGCAGTTCTGCGCTGGATGCCGCCACTGCAAGGAGCTAGGTTGGAGCAACACCGTCAGGGAGCTGACACGCGGATCCTGCCCGAGCCTGGCTTCCCGAGGACACCAGAGCCCCAGCTGCCACCTGGGCCGGAGCCCCGTGAGATCCTAGCACAGGACCCGGCAAAGTCACAGCCACGCTCCGACCCCTGGCAACTGGGAGAGGACGCATGTGTTCTCAGCTGTTCGGTTCGCCGTGCAGGGACTCATGACGCATAGAAATCCAACCATGGCTTCGGCCTCCTCGCGCTCTGCTCCCGAGACGACCCGGGGGACCAGAAGCACAGACACCCATCGCTTCTCTTGTTCTCTGCCACTCCCTGCATCTGTCCTGTGACAGAGACGCAGAGTCCTCTTGAGTGTGACATCACCTCTGCAGCTCTGGGCTCACAAAGTCAAGCTGTTCCGACTCACAGCCGTGACTCCCATCAGGGACCCTGAGCAAGCTGCTACCCTCGTGTGCACGACGATCATTACCGTACCCGTCCTGTGTTTACACACACGAGATGAAGCGAGATACTTCACGAACATACTCAAGGCCTCACCCAGCACTTACCAACTACTCACAAAACATTAACCACTAAATTAGTGCTGCTTAGCGGAATTTAACGAAAGATTTGTGTGGTACCGAGAACACTGGGTTCTTAGCGGATGCATGTAAACGCTGAAAGGAATAAGCTGAAAGAAAGAGCAGCATTACTTGATACCAACGAGGAGAGACCATGGAAGGAAAATGAAGCAACCTACGAAGCCACTCCACGTTTGCACAGAAAGGGCGACTGGGCTTGGTTTCCTCCTGACTTCGAGGTTTCCGATCTATTTGCAGAGTAGGATTTGCAGGATCAAGCCTCCTCAGGTGGACGGAAGGCCCTCCTGCCCCCGCAGCAGACGGACCAGAGGACAGAGAGAACATTCTCACTGTGAACCCCATCAGCCCCCGCGCGTTACTCTAGCGGAGAAGCTCAATCTTGTTGCAAAAGCTTAAACCTCAAAATGCATAACGTGTGAGCAGGAATGTGGCTAACTGAAGTCCGTCCCTGAATTCTGTGAATTTACAAAAGTGTGTCTATTCACATGAAAGGGGGCTGCGTAGGGAGCGCCTCTCAGCATAATAACTGCGCACAGGAACAACCCTCTTTTCTCTTTCCCAAATCCTGCAGGCACGAACCGTCTCTTTTCCTTTCAGAACTTTGCTCCAACGGTACCCACTTCTCGTGATTCTGATTTCCGGGTCTGACTCACTCACCCTGAGTTTGCCGTAAACGCGCACCTTCCTGGGGTCCTCACTCTCTGATCTCTCCAGGGATCACACCCGAAGGCCTTCTTCCTCCAGTAAAACCACCATGCCGTTTTGTTTAACAGGCACTTTGGAACAGGACAGGGAAGGTCTGACACAACGAGACCGACCTTGTCACGAAGCACGGTGACGGCAGAAACTTGCGAAGCCGGTTTTCCGTTTTGGAATTGATGAGGAAGAGCATGGCAGGAAGCAGAGCCCTCGTCCGCGGCGCAGCATGCTGCAGACATGGGAGGTGTGCCCAGATCGGACGGCAGAAACAGAAGGGTATTCTTTTAAAGAGAAATCACGGTGTCACGCGGGGGACAGAGAACTATGGCATGCCCCCCCCCCCCACCGAGTTGTGTAAATAAAGGTTTATTGGACCACAGGCACCCCGATGTTTCGTTTCACACAGTACATGTCCCCGCACGCTCGCCTGCTAGGACAGCAGAGCCGCGGAGCGGAAATGCAGACTGTATGGCTCACAAAGCCCAAGCTATTTACTCCCTGGCCCTTCCCACGAAAAGCTTTACTGACCCCTACACAGCAGCAGTGTGCATGGGTTTGGGGACCAGTGGAGGACCCCGGCTGTAGAGAGAACTTGCATCCTATACAACGGTATTGCAGGCCGGACCCAAAGAGGCAGAACTAAACCCAGCCCACAGCACGAGAGCTGCTCTCCGAATGACAGTTATTTTCCATCCCTTATGCAGATAATTTAAAAGACAGTAAATCATGGTTCTGTACCTTTCACAGTGGGGGTTGTTTCAGAGAAAAACAAACATAGCAAGAGACGTCACTCGTCAGTGTCCTTCTGCATCCATCAAGTACTTATTTGCTACATAATATTTACTAAATGAAGGTCCAGCTGAGAATTTCCCAATTTCTATTTTGTTTAATATACTATGCCATCAGGATAGATAGACACTACATTTCCTGATAATTTTTGCAAAGAAACGTTATTTAAGCGGGATCCCAAGAGTAGGTAAAGGTATAATGGAATATCAAGTACAGTTTAAGTAGAAGAAAGGTGACTGTGTTGTTGGAACAAGGGAATGTTGAAAAGAAAAACTACTAAATCAGCAGAGGATAAATTGGAAAGAAAAACCCCCACCAAATACGTGTCAGGCATTGGCTATGACTTTGATGTTTTGCGCGATGGGGCAACCGAAGCCAGGATGAGTCACCAGGTCCTGTACCAACAGCTCTGTGCAAAATCCTTCAAGGGCACGGCTACCCTAAGCTGCTTGGGCTCTTTGTCGTTTCCCCTGTGCGGCTGTGTCTCAGCGGGGCCACCCCGAAGGTGACCGGTCATTGGCACACCTCCGGCCCACGTCGCAAAGCCCCTTCTCGCCTCGGGGAATGCAGATGTTCATCCCTTACTGGTGCATCTGCTGTCCCACCTCCCACACTGTGCACTGTTTCCGGTCCCACCTGTACATCTTCGGGGACACGCACTGGCGTGAGCTTCATCTTCGCGGCAAATGAAAGGGACCCTTCTCCAGAACCTCCATTCAAACTCTCAAAGAGCTCTCTGAGGAGCTGCCAGCGCTGGGGACATAGGCTTGATTCAGAAGGTCTGGCCGGTGAAAACACAGAGGTCTAGAGTTCCCTTCCCAATGAGATGGCAGCCTGCGGTTGCTGGCTGGGGAGTCGGGGAGTCAATGTGAGGGATTCTGTCAAGCCTGGCAACGGCCCTGCCCCAGGAGGGAGCCAACAGGACCCCCGGGGCAGGTGACGCCATCTCGGCCCCACTGGAGGCAGTCCAGTCGGACAAAACAAATGTCCTTCTATGAAATGTCCATTTGGACGATGGAGCCGCAACAAAGAGGGAGCTATGTGAGCCGGGGCAGACTTACCGATCAGGAACGTGTGTCCGAACCCCACTTCTCATCTCAGTGTTTGCACTTACCAGAATGTGGTTGAACGAGCACGTCGGGGGAAGAAGACATGAATCTTGGCTTCGGTCTCGCGTATGTAAAATCGCTCCAGGAATGAATAGGCTCTGCTGTTTCTGTGCCAGGCCCTTCAACCGGGATGAAGACACAAAACATCATTGTTGGCTGCGGACAGGAGGTGCCCAGCCTGTGAAACTTTCCAAAGACTGGGGGCACAGAACTCTCTTCATGCCAGAATACCTGAAAAACGGGAGAAAAAAAAAAAAAAAAAAGACTTGGCAGCCGTTTACATCTATTCATTTTAGGTTAAGGACCAAGATTTGTGGAAGAGTCCTTTCCTTCAAATGGAAATTTACCTCTTTAAATAGTTCCCTCTGAAGAACATGAATTAGCAGAGGTCTGCTGATGGGAACCATGTGCAATAGGAGGCAACATCCTCTGCCAGAAACACGGAAGAAATAAAAACAAAATAACAGCGAAACACACACACGTGCCCCAACCACTCATTTAAAAAAAGAAAAACTTCAGTGAAATGTAGATGACTCATTTATCCTATCAACACTCAAGCCTGGCAGGTTGCTAATTAGAACAACGTAAGGCAGGTTCTGTCAAATTCAAGGTTTACACCGAAGAATATGTTCAAGCTGCCGTGAATCAGTCCTCTAAAATACACTCTCGAGCAGGTCTGTTTGAGTGTGGCCTCTCCCATGCCCAATCTTGGGCAAATCTGGTTTGATTTATGAGAACTCTGAAGAGACCATATTCAGGGCCCGCCAAGTGGTCTCTTCCGTTGTGAGGCTCACAGAGCTGGTTGCCGTGTGGGCCTCACTTCCGTCCTGGGAGGCATTCTCCACGGCGGAGATGGGTGACGGCAGGTGGGCTCTTCTGTCTGGGCTCCTTTTTTTTTTTTTGGTTGTTTCTTTTTTCTTTCCATCAGAAAAAGGAGAATCACTTTTTACTTGCAAGCAAAATGTCTTTTTCACTAAAGAAAATGTCTGTTTTCCTTTTGCCCATCTGTCACAATTTTATCTCCTGAAAATTACACTTTTTTTGTGGCCTTTCTTTACTCCCGGACAGCAAACACATAGAGTTTAATATGAAACAAATAATCGAGAAAAAGGAACACATGCAAATCATCTTTCTATGATTCATCTTCTTCCGGCAGACCTTCCACAAGGAGATTCAGAGGCTCCCTTTGTGAATATAGATCTCCATTAGGAAAGGTCAGCTTTTCTACACGCTAAAAAAGCATCCTGCTGATTCAAGAACAGATTCCCTGGGATAAAGTTTTAGGGTCAGTGTTGGCCGGAAGGAGCTTATGAAACAGTTCTGATGGGGTAAGCTGTTGCTGCAACGAAGAGATCAAGAGACAAAGAAGCACGTGATTCCTCCACCTGGACAATGGAATGGATAATGCACCGTAAGGTAATTATGCACAGAGCTTACCACGACTCTGCAACACGCCCTCCACACCGCCGGTCTGTAAATTAGAACAAAAGAAGGTCGCGCTTCCTGGATCTTTGAAAACTGGCCATGTCCGCAGAGGAGAACTGACGTCTCAGAGAACCAGCACGTGCCATGCAGGGGGAACAGGTCCACCGCAGAGATGTGCGACGGAGCCCCACGGGAAGCTACCCTATCTGGACGTAGCTACAGTCGGGAACTCCTCTCTCCTTTTCTCTTGCAGCACGGAGATCTGAGCGATGAACCAACGTCAACCCATTTTTTCCTCTGGAACTTTCAGGCCACCAAAATCATCATCATCATCATCATCATCTTCTTTCTTTCAAAAGAAACAAGTGATGCTCTGTGCAGAAGAAAATTTCACCTTGCTGCAAGAATGAGAGTCAGATTGAGAAACAAAACACAACACGACAGCTAAGGGTATAAAGGGAAAACAGAATCCAAATGGTACACCTGGGGCCAGACGACCACAAACAAAGATTGAGATTCCATCCCGTGATGGGGTGTGGGGGTTGCTCTCTGCCAGCACCTCCCTGATCATATGCCTAGAATTCCCGGCTCATATGTCCTTGTGTTGGGACTGGAGCCTCACGCCGCACCAACCTCTCAGAGGTGGTTCTGCCCCTGTGGAACGCAGTGGCTTCTGGAAGAAGCCATACGGTAAATGTGAATATCCTCTGAGCGCAAGTTTAAAGGCCGTCGTGCCAACAGCAGGTCTCCGGTGGCTCTGAGGGGACGGGTCCTGTTCAGGAGAGCTCTGTTGACAGTCCTGGGAGAGCTGAGGCTGGGGACAGGCAGAGGCAGCCAACGTCGAGGAGAGGATAGAGTCGCCGAGAGGAGCCGGCTCCTTAAGGAGACGCTGGCTAGAAGGAAAATGGACAAAGCCAGAGCTCCGAGACTGCGCGTGCTGAAGCTCATGACCGTCTTTATGCCATGTAGTCTGCTGCACGACAAGCAGAGCATTTTTATTTCCACTGAAAAAGATGCACCTGATACGTTAAACAATTTAAAAAAGAAATTTGCTTAGTTGGGGTAGAGCTGAATTTTATTACACTAAATTGGAATTTATTAGCTCTGTGAAGTTAAATGCTTCCAGGTGGCAAAAGGAAGGCTTTTAAGAACTGGATTTTAAAATTCATAGTGGAGTCAGTTGGCCTAAAAATGAGAGTGAAAAAATGTTTCAGTTAATGTAGTTAAATGCCTTCACCCAAATCTTGACATGAAAAACAGTCCTTGGCAATGGGCCAATGTCATTGTGTCAGAAGCTGAATGGGGCTGAGCACAGTTGTCAGGAAGGACACAGTCACAAGAGGGACACATTTCTTCATTACTTACAATAAAGATGGCAGTCCTGTGACAACCTCCCACTCACCCACCTCTAGCCCATAAAAAAGGGAACATTGGAAATTCAAGGGAATTTGGTTACCCCAGTGCACGTCCGCTTATAACGGGTTATTATCCCCCTAATACCTTGTGGCACTAGGTAGGGAGGACAGTGCTTCTGGTATATGAAGGTGATTCCAAAAAATCTGGAGACTGATGGATGACAGGCATGCTACATCACAGCTGCATGCCTGCTGACTTGTAGAACTTGACTTCTTTTCCTGCCCTGTGTGCAGGGCCATGTGTGTTGAAAGCCACTGGGAGCCTTGCTCACGTTGCTGAGAGTTTGAGGGTCTACATGAACACAGGGAGGGGTACCTGCTGATGAACTGGAAAATTCTGAAGGCCAGAGCAATTCTGGATAGCAACAGCAAGGACAGACTGCCTGGGTGGAGTTGCCTACATCCCTCAACTTGGTGAGAAGAATACGCTTTTCCTTAGGTTACATGGAAAATGAGAAAGGGCACCAGGCTTTGTTCTGTCTTGAAGTTCTTATGCTCAACTGGTACAAACCCAGACGGCTCCAGCGATAGGAGCCTATGGGGGGGAACATTTGGTAAAGGAGCGTGAAAGGTCAATGGGAAGCAAGGCTTGTTCGTAATAGGGCAGCTGTGCAGTGCTGAGGACTCAATGGGTCCCTCTCCAAGAACTTCCATTGGCAACTCTGGAGCAGACCAGCATTTCACACTCAAATACCTGCCACACGGGTGCCTGGGTAACTTAGTGGGTTAAGTATCTGCCTTCGGCTTAGCTCATGGTCTCGGAGTCCTGGGATCAAGCCCCACGTCAGGCTCCGCACTGGGCGGGGAGTCTGCTTGTCCCTCTCCCTCTGCCCCTGCCCCCACTCATGCACCCTCCGTGTGTGTGTGTGTGTGTGTGTGTGTGTGTCTCTCTCTCTCAAATAGTCTTTAAAAAAACAAACAAAAAACACCTGCCACAAAGTCAGCTCTGACCACCTGCCAACATAAGAGAACACGGAAATAGCAAGCCTAGTTCAGTGAACCAGTATCTCCAGATTCTTTAAATTCTTTTCTCCCCTGCTCTAAATTAAGAGGCAAAGTGGAAAAAGAAGGCAGAGAGCAGAGTCAAACCATACAGTTTTCTCTTCTGCACGCTCCTGTGCTAAAGACTGGGTGAGGGAGTGATCGCCAAGAGAGCAAGGTACTGGCAAAAAACAGACATACAAACCAATGGAACAGAATAGAGAACCCAGATATGGACCCTCAACTCTATGGTCAACTAATCTTTGACAAAGCAGGAAAAAACATGCAATGGAAAAAAGACAGTCTCTTCAATAAATGGTGCTGGGAAAATTGGACAGCCACATGCAGAAGAATGAAACTCGACCATTCTCTAACACCACTCACAAAGATAAACTCAAAGTGGATGAAAGACCTCGATGTGAGACAGGAATCCATCAAAATCCTAGAGGAGAACATAGGCAGTAACCTCTTTTGACATCGGCCACAGCAACTTCTTTCAAGATACATCTCCAAAAGCTAGTGAAACAAAAGCAAAAATGAACTTTTGGGACTTCATCAAGATAAAAAGCTTCTGCACAGCAAAGGAAACAGTCAACAAAATAAAGAGGCAACCCACAGAATGGCAGAAGACATTTGCAAATGACACTACAGATAAAGGGCTGGTATCCAAGATCTATAAAGAACTTCTCAAACTCAACACCCAAAAAACAAAGAATCAAGTCAAAAAGTGGGCAGAAGATATGAAAAGACACTTCTCTGAAGAAGACATACAAATGGCTAACAAACACATGAAAAAATGTTCATCATCATTAGCCATCAGGGAAATCCAAATCAAAACCACACTGAGATACCACCTTACACCAGTTAGAATGGCAACAATGGACAGGGAAAGAAACAACAAATGTTGGAGAGGTCGTGGAGAAAGGGGAACCCTCTTACACTGTTGGTGGGAATGCAAGTTGGTACAGCCACTTTGGAAAACAGTGTGGAGGTTCCTCAAAAATTTAAAAATAGAGCTACCCTATGACCCAGCAATTGCACTCCTGGGTATTTACCCCAAAGACACAGATGCAGTGAAAAGAAGGGCCATATGCACCCCAATGTTCATAGCAGCAATGTCCACAATAGCCAAATTGTGGAAAGAGCCGAGATGCCCTTCGACAGATGAATGGATAAAGAAGATGTGGTCCATGTATACAATGGAATATTACTCAGCCATCAGCAAGGATGAATACCCAACTTTTACATCAACATGGATGGGACTGGAGGAGATTATGCTAGGTGAAATAAGTAAAGCAGAGAAAGTCAATTATCATCTGGTTTCACTTATTTGTGGAACATAAGGAGTAGCATGGAGGACATTAGGAGAAGGAAGGGAAAAATGGGGGGAGGGAATCGGAGGGGCAGACG